TTATTTTGGTTCCAAAACACAGTGCAAAATTCTCAATTATTTGCAAAATTAGTTGTCAGTAAGAAATAAGAATAACTGTAATATTCATACAGAGTTTGTTAAAGGTTGTTTGAATCAGTCTTATCTTGGGATCAGGAGGGATCAGAAGATGAATCGGAGGTCACAAGAAAGAAGATTAAAAACAGAAGGTTTGACCTTTTCTGGATACTCAAACCTAATTCATTCTGAAACATATGCGCAGCCTGTGAGATAAGCAGAATTTTGCTACAAAGGATTACTAGCAAAGAAAGGTTGAGTTCTTGAGAATGATATTAAAACCACTTTGAGAAACTGTTCTTTAATCATATGTATCAAACCCTTAATCATCTGCACTGAGTAGTTATGTATTATATAGCAACAGATTTCCCATATCTGTATTAGGTTAGTTTAAAGCAATAATATTAAGTTTAAATTAAAAATATTAGGTTCAACTTAATATTATTGCTTTCAACTAATCTATTACAGTTATGTGACATTTTTTTGACAATACATTTAATTAAAGTAAATGTTTCATATAATTGAATAATCATACCCCTTATGATAGCATCTTTCTCTCTCCTGTTCCTTGTAGCTGCGCTCCATCCAGGACCTTCAGACGGTTCAGATCATCAGGATCTTGCGGTACGAGAAGAAGATGGCCGCTATGTTTTTGCTGATGATCACCTGCTTCCTTGTGTGTTGGACGCCCTACGCTGTAGTGTCCATGTTGGAGGCCTTCGGCAGAAAGAGCATGGTTTCTCCCATGGTGGCCATCATCCCCTCGTTCTTTGCCAAGTCCAGCGCGGCCTACAACCCCCTCATCTATGTGTTCATGAGCAGAAAGGTTGGTAGTCCTAAAGTTCTGTAAATAATAGATTTGAAAACTGCAGTCAATAACTTTTGATCTGTTCTGGATGCACTTAAAAACCTGCAACTATGGGACTCTGCTCCCCTTCTTGCTCTGTGAGGGTGAGGTCAATAAAAAGACTCAACGATCTCTGCAGAGCCAACGTGTTGCATCTTGGATATATTCCGTTTTTGCTACAGAGTTCTGATTGGGAACTTTTCTGTGTGTTCCGCCAATTATTTCCCCTCCAGTGACCACAGCTGAAGTGAGAATTCGATAGGGCAAATCAATGTCATCTCCAATAGGGGCAGCGATTTGTTTTCCTCTGGTGCTGCTCCAGTTTGTGGTTTCAGTAGAAAAGGGATTTATTATCATTGTAAAATAAACGGGTATTTTATGAGCATTTGTCGGAAGATTTTTGCCCAAAATAGTGCAGACATTAATTTGCCACTGTTACCAAATAGTGGAAAGAGATATATTTCTAATGAGAATAAAATCTGCATCATAGTCCAGGTGTCAGGGTTTTCCCTGTTTTACATTAATAATTTGTATTAAGTATAATTATTCCATAATTTACACATTTCAATCACCTACATTGGTGATAAAAAGAAGCTGTATAATGGTAAACCATGTATTCCTTCAGTATTCATTATTGTTTGTGTAGGTCTGAAACTGTGTCTTACATTTGTCTCAGTTTACTGGCATTTTTAAACGCTGGTCCTGTGTGTTTGACAGACAGATGAGTGAGGAAAGGGTGACATTTCATCCCTTTTCTTAAGTACTATCCTTTAATCTTGCTTCCCCCTCACAGTTCCGGCGCTGTTTGCTGCAGCTGCTGTGCTCGCGGCTGTCTTGGTTGCAGCACAGCCTCAAAGAGCGCCCCATGACTCCGGTCCAACGGCCCATACGACCGATCGTCATGTCCGGAAACTACGGCAGCAGGAACCGACCTAAGAAGAGGGTGACTTTCAGCTCCTCCTCCATTGTCTTTATCATCACCAGCAATGACTTCCACCAAATGGATGTGACCTCCAAGGCTAGAAGCCCTGCGGAGGTTAATGTCATTCAAATCAGGCCACTCTGATCCGCAAGGACGGGACTTCTCACCCCACCATCACTATGTCTTAAGACCTAAATCAAACCAAAATAACCCTCTCTAACCTCCCGGGATATTTCTATGTATATACACAGTTATTAACTTGTTAAGACTACATGTTAGCCCGAGACCTCAGCTGAACCTCGTTGCACTGTGTTGTCTAAGCAGGTAGTTTGACATCAGCTATGGTGATATAATGATGTAACAAAACATTATTCAAAAAGGCCTCATTTCACAACTGCAGAACTGTTTGGAGTTTTTAGCAGTGTTATGGAACTGAGTAGGCCTACATTATTTGGTTGGTACCCAACTGTAAGCATGTACAACCACACAAACAGGCCTTAGCTCCTTAGCTAGCAAACTGACATTATTTAGTATGGATTCAATAAAGAGATCCTATTTATAGCTACCTAGTTTATGTGACTTTAAATTAATCTCCGGATTGACGATAGCAGGAACTGTGAAATGACATTTGGTGGATCACCACAGATAAGGACTACAGGAGTGTAATTATAAGAGGCGATGAGAGTATGCGCCAGTGAGACACTCCTTTCATAACATCCTGGCCTGTCAGCTATGAATAGACTTGATGAATGGATTTCCATAGCTGATAAAACCCTTAATCCTTGGAGACATGTGACTTAGTCAGTGAGGTGTCTTTTTATGCGTTTAGTTTAAAGAATAGTTATTGAATTACACTTGTTTGGTATCTTGCTGAAGTTACGTTGGTAATCTTCCTCAAAACATGTTGCGTTGTGTTTGTTGAAATTGTTTTAACATCCTGACAGCAATTAATAAATCAAATGCTCTGTCTGAAATAAAGAAGGTTTCTAGAACTTTTTTAAATCAAGTTTATTTATATTTTATCTATAAAGCACATTTAAAACGATTTTTGGTCGAGCCAAAGTGCTGTACATGTAATAAAAACACATTACTACAATCACAATAAAAGACAATAAATTACAACAGATATATAAAAAACACAGGGAAAAGTCATGAGTCGTGCTCCGCTCTGACTAGAAGGCCAGGGAGAAGAAGTGTGTTTTAAGAGTAGATCTAAAAACCCCTAGGGTCTGGGCCGACCTCACATGGAGGGGTTCCAGAGCCTGGGGCCAGCTGCTGCGAAGGCTCGGTGCCCTCTGGTTTTGAGCCTGGTCTTGGGCACTACCAGCAGCAGCTGGTCAGCAGACCTTAAAGCTCTGGCTGGGGTGTAGCGCTGGAGGAGTTCAGCTATATAGGCCGGAGCAAAAAACAAATAAAAGGATTTTAAAATCAATTCGGAACCGAATTGGAAGCCAGTGTGGAGAGGCCAGAATTGGGGTGATGTGGTCACGCTTTTTGTGGCCAGTCAGTAGATGTGCAGCTGCATTTTGGACTAGCTGCAGGCGTTTAATTGAGGCCTGGTCCATACCCACGTATAGAGAGTTGCAGTAATCCAGTCTTGAGGTTACGAAGGCATTAATAACCCTTTCTAAGTCTTTAAAAGATAAATACGACTTGGTTTTGGCCAATAGTCTTATTTTTGGAGAGTTTACTTTCAAAATCTACCATCTTCTTGCGAGTTCCATGAGTGATGAGTTTCAGCGTCAAGATTATTTTCTCAGTCAGTGGAAATGTAGCCATACTGTACATGGTTGATTCCTGTTGCAGACCAAAATTGGCAATTTACAGGCATGACAGATCTTAATAGTTAGCATATTTTATGTTTTAGAATGTTAGCTTGGAAGGTTTTGACTGGCAGTGGCTGACATAGAAATGTTGTGAAACACACAATACTATCTTGGGATATTTAGAGATATGGAGGGAAGATCCAGGGTCTACATCCAAAAATCGTCCTTGTTTGATGTCCAAATGTTCATTAAGTTAATGCTAACTCTCGCTCTATGTACTGACAATCCGCTTTGTGCTCGAGGTTTAAACTTTCTTTGCCGGTGTTGAGTTTTCCTGTCAATCAGTCTCTGTTTGCCTATAAGACAAAGATAGGTGTCATTTGTGACATATTCTACGCACTATCTTGTGCAGGATACGTATGCATATCAGATTTTTAGAGGCATGTAGAAATGTCCTATTCAGAAGAAGAATGTGAGAATCCTCTCGTCAGTTCAGTCAGACATTTTAGGTGACACTCAGATAAGAAAATACATCTTTGAGTGATCTTTTACTACATTTAAAGACAAAGATGTTTCCAATACATCAAACTATTTCTATAAAAGTCACATTTTATAACAACAATATCAGTTGAAACAATATGAAAATGTATTAGGGATAACCCACGTGTACTTACAGAGCTTAGCAGCTTGTTTTAAGTCTGTTGCTTGTTTTTTTATGTGACATTTTTTATGTACTTTTGCTGTTTTGTTCTAGGTCTGTTGGCTGTGTGTAAGTAATGTGAAACTCTTGGCTAAAACATGTTTTTCTCTCAATGGGAATATATTGGCAAATTTAAAGAAAAATCTCACCTTTACAGAACATTCATATATTACGTTTTGCTGTTCCACCCACAAATGTACTGTTCTGGTTTGCTGTTAGAGGTTCTGGCAGCAATGATAAGAGAAGAATCTCAATAAAAGCATCTGTACTTGACCTACTAAGCCCCACACAGCACTGTTGGCAACTGGCTGCTGAACATAAAACAAGAGCTTTTAGCACCTAAAGAGACAGATATTTGTCAAGGGGGTTGGTAAAGACCAAACCCGGAGCAAACAAATTGAGAATTTGACGAATATTCCTCAGGTAGACACAAACACGTCTCCAAATGAATGACCATGTTGCTGTCCAAAACTTGCTAACAAGTTCCAGAACTGAATATGGGTTTATAACTGGTTTCCACGGCCCCCAAGTGGCCTAAATGATAGATTTGAAAGAAGTCCCTCATTCTGCATAAATTCAATGATGTATGAAAGATCTAACAGTAACAATGAGGCATTTATTAGAAATGTATGGAATATCTCACACAGCATGTAGCCTGAAAATTGTGAAAATGATGATGCATGGAAATAATATAAAACATTATTCAGTAACATAATCAGTTAAACAGAATGCATTTTATATAATTATCAATCTTTATAACTTGTATTAGTTACAGTAGGTTAGGACAGTCACTATTCACCAACATGTATAGGCTGGCAGAGCCTTCATTGTGGTTATAAGATGATTCAATCAAACTCTTTTCACAATATGGATTCTCTCATTTCTCATGTTTGATGCACTTGTCTGTCAGATCGGAGCCGGGTCTCAGTTGGTCCAGAGGGACATGAGCCTGGCCCACATCTTCTCAGTGGGGATGATAAGCTTGTTGATATCAGGAGGATTTTTAATGAGAAGGTAGGAGCCTCCCAAAACAGCTCCTGTCGCACCGAACAGCAGGCCGCGGTTTATCACCTGTGAAGAGTACTTCAATTAATTAAATAGGGATCAGCTTTATGCACACACACTTTTTAATTCCTAACACCTTCCCTTTTTAAATGAATTCCTTTTTGAGGAACATTCATAGATTGAAAGCATCAAGCACATCATAAAAAACAAACTGTCATACTTTACTCTACTCTAGGCCATTAGTTGGTCCTATTTCGTTGTTTTTAACTAATTTAGGGATGAACTGAAGATGAACTGCTGCTGTAACCTATGCCATCTTTTAAAACATTAGCTGAACATGTACAAAAATAAAGTTTCCTAGAATAAATGGATATTGTCTTAGCAGTAATGATATTACATGTTACTTGTTGATATATTTATATCAAACTGTATTGGACAAAATCTAACTTTGTTTTATGTAAAAAAGTGATTAGGTTTAAAAAATAAACCTAGTTTTGTGTATAAATTGGTATAATGCATTTTTCTTTGTGCTGCCGACAGGCCATTCTCTTTAAAATATCTCAGGTTTAGGGAGTAATGGATTACATGTAACGGGATTACGTAATCAGGATTAAAGAAAAAAGGTAACTGTATTCCCTTAGTTACATACAAAAAAAAAGTTATCAGATCACTGTCCATTTTTCAAAATTGGGGATAACTCAGGATAATAATGTTACTAAAAACCCTAGAAAGAGCATCTAGTGTTTGTTGTAAAGGATCAGATGTTGTCTCTTCTCTGTCAGCTGTACCGTTCTGTAGGCTAATACTCTAAGAGTGAATCTATACGCCTATTGCCCGAATCTGCTTTATGGTTTTCACTTTCTTTGCTTCATTTGTTCTGTTTTTAATTCAGTAGGTGAACCTGTATGTTCATAACATTGTGTGTGTGAGCTTAACTAAAACGGAGCATTTTGTGTCTGTTCAGGTTATCTAGCTTTTGCCCCAAAATTCCACCGGGTCGAAACAATTGACAAAAGAGGTTGTTAAATCCCGGCTGTCCTCCTGACAGGGGACCATTACTGCAGAAGACATCAGGTCATCAGACAGTTTAACACAGTACCAAGGACTAACTGTCTCATGACATCCAACAACAGAAATCAGAAGAAGAAAAAAAATGGTGCTGCAAAGCTGTATTTGGGAATAAAGTTTATAAGTACAAACAATAAAGTAAATGAAGGCGACCTATTATGCTTTTGGGGGTTTTCCCTTTCCTGTAGTGTGTTCTCTAGGTTTGTGTGCATGTTAATGGTCTGCAAAGGCTAACATCCCTGTGTACCCTTCAGAGCATGGGTGTCAAACTCAAGGCCCGGGGGTTGAGTGCAACCATAATGCCTATGTGGCCCGCGATGAAATTGAGTTGGACACCCCTGCTTCAGAGGGAGTTTCTCTCCCACACACTCCCCCCGGCCTGAAACGCCCCATTGGACTCTAACACTCGCGCTTCTAGTAGTAGTAGTAGTAGAACCTTTATTTATCCAGGAAAATCAATTAAGAACAAATTCTTATTTACAATGATGACCTGACAGGAGGCAAAGGCTTCCTGAGGGGATGGGGTTTGGGAAGAAAACAAATAAAAAGACAGACTCCGGGCACTACAGAACCCAGGAGACAACACAAGCACATAGAGCAAAGATGACAGGCATAGCAGTTAAACATATAAAAACTCTAAAACAATATTGCTGTGGTTCAATCAGTCAGTCAGTTCTTCTATTGGCTATTACTCCAAAACGTTGTTTGTGATATGCTAGGGGGAGGGACCACTCTAAGCGGTTGACCAATCATAACAATTAAGAGGCAAATATCATATTTATTTTAAACTTAGTTACTTTTTACATATAAAACACACAATATGCTGATTTAAAATTCAGGACTTTTTCTTGAAATGTAGTATTCACAGACCATAGTAATTCTACTTTTACTCAAAACAATTATTTACGCTTCTACCACCACTGGAAATATATCATAAAATGAAATTGTACGCAGTAAAGATGAAATAAAAGAGTCTAAAGAGAAGACCGATTTTCTTACTTTGTCCTGCCATTGCCAGCGGTCCACAGCCTTATGGTACCTTGTCCTGGTGAAAGTGACCTGGAGGCAGTGAAGTACAGAAATGAAAACGTCTTCTTGTATCAGACATTGATTAGTTAGTTCACTAGGACACTTACCATTGTGTAAAGTGGAACTATTGTATTTGGCAGGAGGAAGTGGAGGAAGTTGTCGAGATGTTTTCTGAAAAGGAACCACTTTGAGTTGACATGGGCTCTCATCTACAACAAAAACAAAAAGGACAAGTGTTTAGTGAAGTGAACCACCTTTCATTCATAACGCAATTTCCTGAAACTCAAGAGTCTAATTTACTCTGAAATATTTGGGGATCAAGCTAACACAAAGTGCCAATTTATGGCTTTTGGAGAGCCTGAATTGTATTGGAGTGTTAGGGAGCTGGCTTCCTGTCAGATGTAAATCTCTACACCCAGAACTGACTTTCCTCATTATGAAGGGTCTTTTACGGGTAGTGAACGGGCCTACCAGGACAAGACCAGGGGCCCAAAGTGTCAACGACCATTGGTCCTTAGCTACACAATAGGCTTGTTTGAGACAAGCGAGACCTGCGCAATTGTGATCACCGTCTTGCTAGTGCGTTGCATGATGGTTAGTCATTTTGTCCGACTTGCTCTGGAGGCTCGCCTACATGAGACGTTGAAATCTCGCGGGACAAAGACACCCGCAGACTTGAGAGAGCGGCGAGGCGGCGCAGTTCCTCTCCACGGGCTGCGGAAGCGAAATGCTTGATGGGAAACGACTCACTGGTATCTCGAGCTGAGCGCTCATTGGTGGTTTTTACCACGTGCTGCTGATGAAACTCTCCAATTGGCTCGGCAAAAGTTTGTTGTTGTTTTGTGTCAGTTTTACGTCGCCACTTCCATTCACATTTTCACCCAAGAAGAAGAAGAAGAAGAAGAAGAAGAAGAAGAAGAAGAAGAAGAAGAAGAAGAAGAAGAAGAAGAAGAAGAAGAAGAAGAAGAAGAAGAAGAAGAAGAAGAAGAAGAGAATAGACAGAAGAAGAAGAAGAAGAAGAAGAAGAAGAAGAGAGAAGAATAAAGAGAAGAATAAGAAGAAGACAGAAGAAGCATACGAATAAGAAGAAGAAGAAGAAGAAGAAGAAGAAGAAGAAGAAGAAGAAGAAGAAGAAGAAGAAGAAGAAGAAGAAGAAGAAGAAGAAGAATCCGAGCTGTCCGACTTCAGGCGAGCTTTTTGAGACCTCCCCCGGCTGCGATCGGCTATTCTCGTCTACTCTCGAGGCGAGCCACAGCTCGTCTCAAACAAGCCTATTGTCTGTCAACGAGACACGTGCCAACCAGGAAGTGAATCAAAATGACCACAAAGACACTTAAAACGACTAAAAGAGATGCAAAACAATAAAACTAAATAGCTAACTAAATGCTACAAACAAACTACATGGTGGCTTGATGACAACACTGCAAAGCTAAAGGTGGCTAAAATTCTGCCTGATCACATTTATCAGTCTCATATCTCATTGGGGTAAGGTATCTTGCCCAATGACACATCGTCATGGGGATCCAACCACTGACCTTCCAATTAAACAGCTAGTTAAGTTTTGTTTCTATGGTTATGTCCCCTGATAGCTTGCACCGCTTCATACAGCTGTTATCTGATTGGTTGTCAGAGGTAAAAAGGTCAGAGCTAAGAAGGTAAAAATAATTTGAACTAATTATCCCATACTCAGCTTTACAGATCTTCAAAGCTTCCATCAGCTCTTTTTTTTTGGTTGACCGGCCCACATCAATACTGATTTAGTTAAATTGGACATATCAAATACATATGCATTACTTCAATGTAGTTGTACATGGCCAAGTCTGCGATGGCGTGATCGTCTGGAACTCGCACTCTGGTATACTCAGGCAGGACAGCACCTGGGTGGACACACAAAGGAAAAAGGCCACACTTTGTTATGAAATCCTCTGTCTCATTTAATCCATGCTCATTTCAAAAGTACTTACTGAAATCCTCATTGAGCTGCTCCATTATTTCGTCGAACACAATGCAGTCCTCAAAGCCCTATTAATTACAAATGTACAGATGAGTTTCTATTTAGTTATTTTTCTGCCTTTTTTGTTCTCCTCGATTGAGTGTTACTCACAGCGTTCATGCCCTGCCCGTAGAAAGGCACCACTGCGTGTGCGGCATCGCCCATGAGGACACATTTATCCCCAATGTGGTACGGGGAGCACTTAATAGACACCATGGCCAGCCCAGGCAGTCGGAAATAATCCCTCTTGAGAGCATCACTGCAACACACAAATAGTAATAAAACAGTTAGCAACTTGTCATATCTTTTTTACTTTTCTTTTTTGCCTTGCTAAAAAAAGATCAGAATAAGCTATATAAGCCAACATAGTGAAACAGCAAAACAGAAGAATAAAAACGTTATTGAATGCCTGTGCAGTCTAAAGTAACCTCAGTGTGGAAGTGACTGATTTTTGTTGGAGTAAACATTCCTTAAAGAGGCCCTGTTATGCTTTGTGGATTTTCCATCTCCTGTGGTGTGTTCTATAGGTGTTTGTGCATGCAAGTGGTCTGCAAAGGGTAACATTCCTGTGTTCCCTCCAGAGGGAGCTTCTCTCCATATTGACATCACTATGTAACACTTGCATTTCTATTGCACAACAGTCAGACAGCTCACCAATCAGAGCAGACAGTGCTCTGGTTTCAGACAGAGGGTGAAAAGAGGTGCTATAGCACAGGCAGTATGAGAAAAAGAAAGAGCTTTTTGAACATTAAAGGTCTCCTATTATGCTATTTGTAGGCATATATTATGAGTCTCAGATATATACAAATATATAAAAAACATGTCTATGATGTGTTTTGCTCAAAATACAAACAGATCATGCATTTTTGACATCCCTCATATCCCTCTATTCCAGTCCTGTTAGAGAAACGCTGATTTTGGGTCCTTAGCTGGAAGAAAAAAAAGGAGGAGGCGGAGCTAATGCCTGCTCAGAATTCTACCGGCAGATACAGTTAAATGTTGCCGTTATTAAACGTCATCATGTTCCAAACCACATCAAGGACTATTTCTGAAACAGTTTGGAACTCAAATGCTTTTTCTCTTGCGGGTTTACCTTTTTTTATTTCCTGCTTTTTTACACATACCCTCTCCAGTACAGGTTAGCTCTGACTGTTAGCAATACTTGCTAATGTAAACAAAGACCATATTACATCCAAAACACGTCAGGCATTGTTTCCGACAGCAATGTTTCTGATTGGGCCGTGGGTCCACATTTCTGATATTAAGTCATATCGGACGCAAATCTGGATCAGCTCCGTTGTACCCCCGTTTTTAGAGATTTGTGTACGGAGGAAAAGAGAGGGTTTTGTTTTTTGACACTTTGCGAGTTCCCTGACACACCAGGGACACATATTTATGTATAAAATACATCAAAAAGTGCATTTTGAATGATAGGACACCTTTAAAAGCATGGAGACATGTCACAGTAGAGGCACAAAATACATATATGAACCTCCATAAAGAGGACATAATAAAGCTCTGCCGGCTTAACAGAATACATGTAAGGGGTAAAGTAATCAGGAAAGAAAAATAGGGAACTGTATTCCCGTACAACTGAGGACAGGATGCAGGATAAAGCATGTAGTACAAAGGCTCCAGGAGGGGGGAGGCAGTGTTGCTCTAAATGTTCTAGCATCAGCTAAAATGGAGCCAAATGTGGGTTCACCACAGATGCAAGGCCCTGATTCAGCAACAAGCTGTCAAAATTATATAAAATGAAGATGGAGATTAAAAAAGTGCTTCATGGATAGGGGTTGGGACATCTGACAAATAAAAGATACCACTGTACGAAATTGTCACGTGGCACTCCAACACACTCTCACTCCATAATCGTCCAGGAGCGACGTTTGGTCAGTGTCCGTGGCGTGCAGTTGTGACGCTCCTAGGCTCCTTCAGCTTCATAAAGGGACGCAAATAGCTTTCAACTGATTGCAATGTATTCCCATCTGCGGCGGGATTTAACGCTCATGGAAGCACGGCATTCGTTTGTGTCGGCTGCCCTTAAAGGCATTGTGAGCGTCCATTCCCATTGGATAACGGAGAATTGTACACCCGGAAGTAAGTATTCCCCTTACTGTCGATTGATTTTACAGTGATATCTGCACTACTCATCGACTAAAAAACACCAGATTATCCTTGTTAATTACACAACATTGATTGGTTTAAATTGTGTGCAATGCTTTTGTATTTTTCCCCTTCGATTCGGAGAAACAAATATTTTTTCGGAGTAAAGGATGGCAGAAGATTGGAGAGTGTGCTCCGAGGGTTACACCGAGCCTCAAACAGCACTTGAAATGGGATGGAACCACGGCAGACTGTCCAAAACTGGATTTGAACGGGACCACCGCGTCTCCCCCACCCCGTCCCCAGAACTACACATGCTGGCTATTGTGTTTGGCAACATGTTCTCTATCTATGGCACGTCTCTACTGGGAGTTGTAGTTTTAAAAGACGTTTTCATATTTCCCATAATAAGAAGTGGCCAGTATTAAACTGTGTACATCCCTGGAGGTTTAGGGGATAGGAAACACTCACATTTAAAACATATAATTAATAAATGGGTGAAAATTGCTTGTGCCCATAATGGGCAGCATTAATATATATACACACATGCCAGCTAAGGTCAGAAGAGCTTTATTTAACAGCTGGTCTTATGTTTGTGACCCCTGTTGTTAATTGATAACATTACATTACATTACATTAATTGATAAGCCTGAAACATGCACTTGTCAAGGTTCAGAGGCAAATTTTGCAAATGTGGCAGTAGCCATCGATCAGCTTAAGATAAGATATACTTTATTGATCCCAAGTTGGAACATTTGCGTTACATCAGCATGTGTAACAGTTGTAAATATGCAGTGGTGTTTATTTGTAAATCATTTAGTATAATCACACAAATTCTGTGTTTTATATTTAACAATTCTGTGTTCTTTATTTATTGATTGTTCAATACCTGACAAGGCCGGAGATGAAATATCTACATACATCTTATAAGAGTATAATACATTATGTATAATATCAGTTAAAATAAGTGCTTCAACATAGTTAACATTGCTGGAGGTATGCACAAATATTGATAGATGTCTTGTAATGCACTATTGTAACTAATGTACTATAAACCCAAGTTTTTCATTCAATGCAGAACTACACCATAGTTGTGTAGGCCTATATGATATGTCAATAAACCTTAGAAAATCTTGAAATCTTGAAAGGGATGTGCAAAATAGTCATTATATACCGTCTTTAATTAACTATTAGTAGAGAATAACTAGTAATGAATATACTTTATAGGGATCCTATTAATATCTAATAATAAAAATAATGAAATTCAATAACATGCTTTAACCACTAGGTGTCCCTTTATATCAACTGTGCACCTTTATGGTGTAAATACAGCCTATCTACCAATTGGATCAAATATAAAAGTCAGCCGAATTAGTGTTGATACTGCAAGGAGACGTATTGTGTGAAAAGAGATGTAAGATGTTGTTTAATGGCTGATATATTTATGATCCACGTCACGTTTTCAGTTCCTCGTGTTTGTCTAGAAGTCTTCTCATCATGGCTCTATAAATACAGAACTACGGCAGATATGTAATATTTAATGCAGCCGAACCGTGTATTACAATGCCGTTATGTGATGACTTTCAAAGAGAAAAGCAAGCACACTCGGAATAAAGTATTATTTATTTATTTTTTAAATGTTCGGTCTGTTTCCGGTATTTGTTAATGACGATGTGCTGTGAGATGTGAGACTGGAATTGCACAGGGGAAAATAACGTATCTTTAGATGCGGATTTTGTTAAACTAATACGTTTGCGCTGTGGACCAACACTATACATTGACGGGGAAGGGGGTAGCAATAAAGATAACACCATTAAACAGTTACACAACATAACAGAAATAATATCGATAGCAGCGTCCCTAGCAACCACCTTGGTAACAATGAAAACGTTCTATGGACGTAATTTCCTGAAGTAATCTTCATAATAACTAGCAAACTAAAGATCATGTACATCCACTGCACACATAATCTGAAATAACAACTCATATTTCTCGCATCAAATGACATCAAAACGCATTTTAATGGCCAAACTAACTTTTAAATAGGCATTTTCCACCGAGAATAAAACGAAGTTCGGCCATGTTTTTTTTTTCTGCAGGGAGAAATTTGAAGATCACGTGACATAGACGCCAGCCATTGGAATGAAAGGTGAAAAAAAAACGGGGTTTGTCAAACAGAGCACATGGTGTAGTCCTAAACGATAGCTGGGGATTCTGGGTAGTGTAGTGTCTTCTGCCATCCTATGAGAATGGACGCTCACATTGCCTTTAAGGGCAGCCGACACAAACGAATGCCGTGCTTCCATGAGCGTCAAATCCCGCCGCAGATGGGAATACATTGCAATCAGTTGAAAGCTATTTGCGTCCCTTTATGAAGCTGAAGGAGCCTAGGAGCGTCACAACTGCACGCCACGGACACTGACCAAACGTCGCTCCTGGACGATTATGGAGTGAGAGTGTGTTGGGCACTCATACTTCGAATATTCCAACTTTTACCTCGATTAACGCTGACCTTTCGATGTGTAACCAATCACATCAGAGCCGTGCTAAGCGGCACAAGCTATCAGAACTAAAAAAACTCAAAACGTATCTGGCCGTTTTTACCACAAGGCTCTACGCATAACCTTGCATTGAGCAAAGAGCAAATCACGTATCATGTTAATGCAGCTTAAGCCCATAGGCGGCGCGTGAGGCTCAGGTTTGGGAAGGCTAAACTACTAAATCAAATTGTTTCGTTTATTAACGCTATACAACATAGCGTATTGTGAGGCGGTTGTCGTTGTTACAAGTACAACGTTACAATGTGGGGCCATTGATAATGAAAATAGATTTTTACCCTTAATGTCTACCCCTGCCCGGTGCCGTATAAGCTTTTTATTTTATTGTTCATCAGTAGAGGTTGCTGCTTTATTCTTTGTATCTGTCCATGTATTTATTTATTTTTAACATTAACTTTTTTAAACAAACAGTGTCAATATCAATACTTGGCAGCTTATAACATTGTCCTACCTTAATGGAGCAATATGCGACGCTTCGCTGTGGCATCATAGGCGTCAATAATGTCCTCTGCTTTGATTTTCTCTGTGAGGTTGCTCTCAATGTGAAGCAGGCTCAGTGTTGTCAACCTCTCCTGATGCATCGTTGTTCTGAGCCAGT